TATATGTATATGTATATATACACACACACAAGAATGGCATCCACTTCCTAAACAACATGCTTCCGGAAACTATGAACTTTGATAAATGTTGATAGTTATAGAAACACTTCAGCCTTTTGTAATAACTGAAGAATGAGAAGATTACAAGAAATGTATAGGAGTCCTACTAGTGTAACTGTAACTTGTTTTCAGTTGCTTTAGTGTTTGAATGGATTGAAGCTCCAATTCTCAGAAAATTTACAGAGGCTACCTTTCCATTTTATTCTCATCTAGGCTTGTTGAAAACATAACCATTGACTATGAGTCACTTCTGACCCATATTGACCCTGCAAGGTAGAGTGGAACTGCCCCATAGGGTATCCAAAGCTGTAATGTTTATGTATTTTATGTGATTCAGCCTGAATTCAGAAGATGAGTATCATTGCTGATGTCAGATGGATCTTGGCTGAAAGCAGAAAGTACTAGAAGAATGTCTATTTATGTTTTATTGCCTATGCAGCTGAATTTGACTATGTGGATCATAACTAATTACGGATAATATTGAGAAGCATGGAAATCTCAGAACTCTTAATTGTGCTTGTGTGAAACCTTTACACAGACCAAGAATTGGTTGTTCCAACAGGACAGAGGAACACTGCATGGTTTAAAATCGGGAAAGATATGCATTCAAGTTGTAAACTTTCTCCATGCCTATTCAATCTGTATACTGAGCGAATCATTCGGGAAACCAGACTCTATGAAGAAGAATGTGGGATTAGGATTGGAGTAAAATTCCTCAACAGTTTGCATTATGAAGATGACACAAACTTGCTTGATGAAAGTGAGTAGGCCCTGAAGTGCTTACTGCAGAAGATCAAAGAATACAGCCTTCAATATGGATTATACCTCAACATCCAGAAGACAAAAATCCTTACCACTGGGCCAATAGGCAACGTCATGCTAGATGGAGAAAACATTGAAGTTGACAACAAAATTTCACTGTACTTGGATCGAGAATCAACACTCATGATAACATCAATCAAGAAGTCAAAAGACACAGTGTACTTGGAAAATCTGCCATCAAGGAGCTCTCCAAAGTGCTTAAGAGCAAGGATGTCCGTTTAAAGATCTGAGCCTCAGTATTTTCAGTTGATTCCTATGCATCTGAAAGTTTCACAGTGAATAAGGATGATAGATGAAGAATTAATGCCTTTGAGTTGTGTTGGAGATTACTGAATATCCCTTGAACTGGCAAAAGAACAAACAAACCTATCTTGGAGGAATTGGAACCTGAGTGCTTCTTAGAGGCAAGAAGGTGAAGCTTCATCTTACATAATTTGGGCATGTGAGGGACCAGTCCTTGGAAAGGGCCATCATGTTGAGAAAAGTGAAGGGTCAGAAAGAGAAGAAGACTCTCAACAAAATAGATTGATACAATGCATAACAAAGGGCTTGAGTTTATCAGAGATAGTGAGGATGGAGGAAGATAGTGCAAAATTCTAATCTGTTGTTCATAGGGTCACTGTGACTTACAGTTCACTTTACCCACAATCTTTGTGGAAGTGGAGAGCCTCATTTTCCCCATGGAATAGCTAGAGGGTTCAGTTAGCACCCTATGTAACAATGCTCCTCCTGTTAGTATTTATGGCCTTAGAAATCCAATGTAAGATCATTCTGAGTTGTTACAGACTTCATAACAGTGGTTTGTTTGGTTTTGGTTTAGGCATAAACATTAGAACAACCAAAATGCTCTACTGGGTCTGAAATCTGTTGCAATGATTACATAGGCTTTATAGAACCATGCTCATGGTTATGGGGTTTATTAGAGAAGTCAACAGGCTGTAATTCAGGTTGGCAACAGGATACAGTCCCCTAGGCCAGACAACTTCTCAAGCATCATGGTTACAGGCCCTCTGACCTTCATCCTCGTGTCTTAGGTCTGTGTTACAAAGTTCCCTTAGTCCTATGAGTTACAGTGTCTTCCCTCAGTGTTCATGCAAGCTTGGATGAAGGCCTCTGGCTGTGTGGAACAGCAGTGCCAAGTCAGTTCTGTCTGTTTTCAGTGTCTGGTTCTCTGTAGAGTCTGCTGTCCTCTTATGTAGATCCTGGACTGACTAACAGAGGAATCTCTGGCCCTGAAAGACTGCACTCTGCTTCCTCCTCCTTACTAATAGTGAGATCCCAAGTTTTGCTGCTAAATCCATTCAGTTTAACTTGATGGAATGGGGGAAACAGACCAATTCCATAGGGAATACTTTATAAACGTCCTATTCCCACTCATGGTGAAAGTCAAAGTCCATGGCTAGGAAACTATTCTTAGCCATTAATCTTCATATTTTAAAGATCAGCTTTCCTCTTAAAATCATCTTACTAGTAACTACATTCATGAAAGTGTGTAAACTGGCTACCAATTGACACCTTTCAACTACCAGATGCAGCTCTGCACATGTTCACCAGTTTATGCCAGGAAATGTGGAGGATAACTGCCTGTCTGACAGGAAAAGATCACCATTTGCTCCCATTGTCAAGAAGGTGATCCAACAGAATGTAGAAATTATCAAACAATATCTTTAATATCACATGGAAGCAAAGTATGGCTGAAGACCATCCTAAAATGGCTAGAACTGCACATTGACAAGGAACTACCAGAAATTCAAGCTGGCTTTAGAAGAGGCTGTGGCAGGAAGGATATCATTGCTTTTGTCAGATGGATTCTGACTAAAAGCAGAGAATACTGGAAGAATTCTATTTGTGCTTTATTGACTACGTAAAGGCATTTGGCTGTGTGGATCATAACAAAGTATAGCTACCATTGAGAAGAATGGGAATCATCCACTTCCAAAATATCTTGCCTCCAGAAACTCTATGAATATGGAGAAATGATGAAAGTTATACAAGTGTTTAATTCTTTCATTCATAGGGTCTCTATGAGTTGTCTACAACTGGATGGCACTCAACAACAACACAGAGAGAGCTCTGTTGGTCTAGCAGATAGAAAGTTATGTTACCAAGCCAGAGGTGGGTGATTTTAATCTGTGGCCCTCATGCCTGGTCTTAATTGTTTGTGTTCATACATTCTTCTAAGTAGCATAGGTCTGTCCATTTGTTGTACAGAGGTAACTTGTGGCTGCTGCGATGCTAA